GAGTTGGAGGTTGTTGTGAGCTGTGATGCCACAGCACTCTACCCAGGGCTTGAGGCTCTGTCTCAAAAACAAAAAACAAAAAAAAACAAAATTGAATAGCTCAAAGTTGTCCAGATGCAGAATCAGCCGTTTTCTTTACCCATTTCTTCTCATTCCTTCTGTCCCCCATAGTTCATTCTGTCTGTCTCCTGGTCAGTAACCCCTGTTGTGATTTTTCTTACTTGGCTTTTATCTTATTTTATTTTTTTGCAGTTTTAAAAATATGGAACACTTCACAAATTTGCATGTCATCCTTGCACAGGGGCCATGCTAATCTTCTCTGTATCGTTCCAATTTTAGTATATGTGCTGCCAAGGCAAGCACTACTTGGCTTTTTTTCTATTCCCACGAAGCTTCCTTAAGCCTTCATTAGTATTTAATACTCATTGCTTTACAGTAATATCAGTTACATTTTTTCTTAAGAGTGCAAGCTGCTTCCATGTCCATATTATTTTTCTGACCCCCCCAAACATGACAGAATTGTTTCCGTTCTGAGATGGTCATGCTGAAGCATGTTCATACACTTTTGCTCATTAATCCCATGTCTACTATCCTAAGGAACCACGTCAGTAGAAAAAATAAACTGTTTACTCATGAAAATGATTTAGTAGAAATATATCACATTAAAGTATTCTGTGGCACAAAATATAGTGTCATCAAAGTAATAAAAATGAAGACGACGACAAAAAAAACAATAAAAGTATTTTTTATTTCATGTTACTTAATGTTTAGCCTAACATGGAATTTAGAATTGAGATCATGGCTAGTTTTCCCTGAAAATATTTTTATATTGTCTCCAATTTACTAGATTTACATGGAGTACAATCATAGGTAAATATCCAATTTAATTAATTAAAGTTCTCATTTTTATTTAAGGGTCCAGGATTAATAGCTGCATTGTGGGGTGTCTTCATGTTTAAGGAAATACAGGTATGTACAATAAAAGGAAGATTTAGAAAATAGAAATAAATCCAAGTAAGAAAAGTGTTTGATGTTATGTTTGTGTTATTTTCTAAAAACCACATGTGAGGCCTAAGCCAAGAGCAGACAACTGGAGCTGTGGTAAT